GGGCTCGGGCCGGGCTGTCCGTGCCCCCCGGGGCACCGGCCGGGTCCGGCTGCCCGCGGGTTGGCCGGCGCGGGCGGGACGTGGCTTCCCCGCAGCCGGGCTGGGGTGTCTCCGACATTCCCATTTCACTGCCTTTTACAGAAAAGGCTTGGGGTTGGTTGTTGTTCTGGGGATTTGTGTTTTCTCTTTTTTTCCCGTTAGGTATTTATTGCATAGAACCGCAGGTTTGCTTTAGCAGAATTTAGATGCAGACAAGCAGACCTGTTCTATGGCTTTGGAAACAAGTTGGCCAGATGTGAAATCAAGAGCAGTGTAAACACAGAAGTAACTACCACTTTATAATCTGCACGTTACTGTTTGATAATGGCAATAGTGTTGTCTGTATTTAACGGTAACTTGCAGGAACTATCACTGATGCCTGAAGTTGCTTTGATGCCCACCAGAATCTCTCGTAAAAGGAACATCCAGGATTTTTGTGCCAGAAAACTGCCAAGAGACAAAGCTCACTAGTTGCAGTTCATCTTGTGTTCGGTACTAATGCTGCAGATGCAGTAATAAATTCAGTCACCTAAAGATTTAGGCACAGTAGTATGAAATTCAGTATTCTGTTTGTAGATCAATTGTTTCTAATCGATTCTCTGACTTCATATCCCAGCACTCACTCCGAATGAACTGCAGTGCATTGTTTTAAACTGCAGAGGGGTAGTTGGGGCAGTTTTCTGCAGCTGCCAGAATTGTCAACACTGCCCTACAGAAACAGCAGGCAAGCGTAGCTAGACACAAGTGTTTACACTAGGTCTGCTTCGTCTTTCCACAGTTACGTGTGGCTGTTGTATTTTTATAAATTCTGTACAGGAGCCTACACTATTGCATTCCACTTACCGATTTCTTAAATTCAGAATATTTTTTACATTTGGGCTTTTTTGACAATATTACTTGTGTACGAGCTTCTGGCTGGCCCTGGCTAGAAAACAGGGTAGTTATTTTTTTCAAGCTCTGTAACACAGTGCTGATGTATATTAAGTCCTTGTGGAGGTTGCATTTTTGTAAACAGCCTCTTCCTGATGCCGGAAGGGGCAGAGTTATTGCCATGGAGAGAGCTGTAAAGTAGGTGAGTGGAGTTCACACATGCTTTTGCCTTTTACATGTAACCTTATTGTTGGGAATGCAACATCTGATAGGAAATAATTTACCCAGAGATTTAGAAAACTGTTAGTGATGGTCTAAAACTGCTGGGACTCAGCCATTTCAGTCTCCAGCTAAGCTAGCAGATAATTTAAGTTATTTTTCCTCAATTTCTAGGTTTTGTAACATAAGAAACTAAAACTATTTCCTCATGGTCAAGACACCACTGTTCTTTGGGAGATCTCAGTATTTGTGACATTCAGCCCACAGCCATTTAGCTGCCAGGTGCTTCAGAAAAATCTTCAGACTGCTTATAGGAAAACTGGTGGTTCTCCTATGCATGGAGTAAAGCTATTCTTGCTCAGTTGAAGTTGATTTTGGATGCAGACAGGCACAATCTGAGCTTGGAAGGTCAATGTTTTTATTATGTGCTCAGTCTAAAGTATGCTTTGCAATAGAAATCGAAATTTAACAATTGCTGCAGCCACACATCCCATCAGCAGGCACCCAGGATGGTACCTGCTAGTTTTTGTTAACAGACTTGCACTGCCTTGGAGTGATTGTACATCACTTGGAGTGTTGGAACATCAACTTAATGCTGCACATTATATTGCCACATAGTGCTTATTAATAAATACCTGATTCTTTTCAAAACTCTGCAAAAACTTGTCAAGAGGTTAGACTATATCCAGACAATTTAATATATTGTTTGTGAGTTTTGATACTTAAAACCCCAAATCTATTCTCTATGCAGATACGTGTTTAGTTTCTTGTGTGACTAATAGCCAGATGAGTCACTGTGTTAAAAGGTTGTTTTCCAGTCTGTCCTAACTGTTTTGACAAGTATATCCGTCACAAAGCTCTGAATAAAGAAATAAGTAAATGAAAGTTGTGAATTACTAGGCTTTTTTTTTTTCTCTTTCAATCAATGTTGACTGACATTGATTTATCAACTACCTTTGTATAGAATAGAATAGTTTGGGTTGGAAGGGGCCTTTAAAGGCCACCTAGTCCAACCCTCCTGCCATGGGCAAGGACATCTTCAACTAGATTGAGTTGCTTCAAGTCCCATCCAACCTGACCTTGAACATTTCCAGGGATGGGGTATCCACAACTTCTCTGGGCAGACTGGGCCAGCGTTACAGTTATCCCTTTTCATTTTGAAAGACTATTTGAAATCTACTAACAGAAGATGAAGACCTGTTAATAAAATGATTTAACTGTTTCCCAGCAGTGGGGAAAATGATGATGAGACTGACCAGAACTGGAAACCACCAGAAAATGACCTGATCCAGAAGTTAGTAGCACAGATTGAATATTACTTCTCAGATGAGAACCTTGAGAAAGATGCCTTCCTTCTAAAGCACGTGAGAAGAAATAAGATGGGCTATGTCAGCGTTAAACTCCTCACTTCTTTTAAGAAGGTAAGCTAACGTTGTAAGACTTGTGCCTTGTGTAAGCCTGATGAATCTAAACACAGGAGGAGAGATGAGATGAAAATAACTTCTTTTATTATCTGCCTCTCTCAGGAGTTTTTAATGTGATGATTAGGTTTGTTTCAGCCAGAACTTTAATTGCTGAACTCACTAGTGATTGACTGGGGAACTCATAGGCTTTTAAGCAACTATGCTTTTAAATTATCATTCTGGGAGACAATGGGGCACAGTCAGTGGGACATTGGATAAAGTTCATTTCTAGATGAGCTACTCATGAGTAGCTGAATAATCCTGGTGAAGTCACTTTCTTGTCTCTGAGAAGGGATGGTGAATCTGACCTTTGCCAAATATATGGAGATCCAAAAGTTAAGAGTAGTAGACAGTTATTTGATAATTGAAGTCACTTAAAGGTGAGGTAGGTTTTATTCTTTTTTACATTAGGAATGCCTATGTAAACGTATGTAGGTAACTGATTTCTAAAATTGCATATGAAGCACTTTGTCAAGATTCCAAGTCTGACAGTTTTGCAGAGCTGGTCAGTCTAGAAGTTAAAGCACTCCCTGTTTCTTCAGACCACAAACGGATTATACCCATAACAGATAAACTCTTAAAAACAATCCTTGGAAATGGAGAAGTTTGGGAGGTTTTAAAGTGAGATTTTAGAGAGAGGAAAAATCAGTTCAATAAAATGAAGTCCTAAACTTGGCAAAACTACTTGTTTGGCAAATTTAACAAAATAAATCGCACAGAACATGCATTTTGGTCACGGTTCAGACCTAGCTATGGAATGACTGAACACCACTAGAGCAGGCTTTAAGCTAAAGTAATGATTTTCAGTTTTAGATTTGGTGTCAGTTCCTATTTTCAGTAGATTCAACAGGACACGAGCTTTATGGGAGCTCACTGCTGCCCTTTAAGCTGGAAAACGGTTTACTTTTTCACTCCGTTCTGCTACATGAAACTTAAATCCACGTTTCTGTCTATAGACTGGAACCTGCATCTGCCTTGCACACTTTCTGCAATTAGTTTGAGTGGGTTTGATTAGTTCTGCTGCTTAACCTGTGTCTGTCTTCAAGGTGAAGCACCTTACCCGCGACTGGAGAACCACAGCCTATGCCCTGCAGTACTCGGACACTCTTGAGCTCAATGATGATAACAAGAAGGTTAGAAGAAATACTCCAGTTCCAGTGTTTCCAAGTGAAAACCTCCCTACCAGGATGTTACTGGTGTATGACATCCACAGGATTTCTGAGCTGGAGGCAGGTAACAAACAGCAAGAAAACGGATGCGTGCAAGAAAGGCTAATGGAGCATCTCCTCAAAGCCTTTGTCACTTTCGGTGCAATTTCATCAGTTCGTATTCTCAAGCCTGGTAGGGATCTACCACCTGACATCAGGAGGGTCAGCAGCAGGTACACCCAACTGGGAACTCAGGAATGTGCAATTATAGAATTTGAAGAAGTAGATGCTGCCGTACGTGCTCATGACTTCATGTGTGCTGAAAAGAAAGAGACCGGCATGAAGGTTGTCCTAATAGGCATGAAACCTCCAAAGAAAAAGGTTCCCAAAGACAAGAACCGTGATGAGGACACCAGCAAGAGCATTAAGAAGGCTAAATCCCTTAATAAGAGAGTTGAGGAACTTCAGTTTGTTGGTGATGAATCTTCAGCAAACAGCTCTTCTGACCCAGAGAGTAACCCGGCGTCACCGCTGTCAGGACGCAGAAGCACCACAACGAACGCCAGGAGTAATTTGAGCCCCGTCATTCATCCAACCAACCATTTGAGTCCTAACGTGTCACCCAGATCGAGTCCTTGGAACAGTCCATCTTCACTAAGAAAAGTGACCAGGAAGTCTCCACTGGCTGAGGACAGCAAGCTCAACCCAGGCACTAGCCCTGAGATGGCACGGAAAGGTACGGATTATTCCTCGGACAGCAGCGTCACCCCCTCGGGCAGCCCCTGGGTGCAGAGGAGAAAAGCTCAGACTGTGACACAGGAGAAGAGCCCCGTGGGTAGCCCCATGTTGGCTCGGAAAATACAGAAGGCAGAGGGGCTGCCCGTCGGGGTGCTGCGGCTGCCCAAGGGCCCTGACGGCACCAAGGGGTTCCACCACGGGGGTGAGAGGAGGAAGGCTGCGAAGAGCGAATAGATCAAGCAGTTTTACAAGTCACTCAACTGCTTTTGTTCGAGCCTGGTGAAAAATTGTCACTTGAGTGACCAAGTCAGTATTTAATTTTCAAAGGTTTTGTATTCATATAGAGACTTTATCATGTGCATATTTATATTCATATAGAGACTTTATCATGTGCATATTTATATACTCGCTTCAGCGTCTCAGGCTCGCTGAGGTTGGAAGGCATCTCTGGAGATTGTCCAGGCCACCTCCTTTGCTCAGGCAGGGTCCACTACAGCTCCCTTGGGGGTTTGAACATCTGCGCGGCTGGAGGCTCCCCAGCTGGCCTGGGCCACGTGTCCCCACCTTCAGCCACCCACACAGGACAAGGTGTTCCCTTACCTGCAGGTGGAATTTCCTGTTCCAGTTGCCGCCCCTTTTCCTGTTACTGGGCATTGCTGGGAAGAGCCATCGCCACCTTCTTCCCCCCTTCCCAGCAGGTATTTAAACACGTGGATGTGATCAGCCCCCCCTTCTCTTCTCCAGCCCGAGCAGCCCCCGCTCTCCCGGCCTCGCTCCAGTCTCTAACCCACGTAACGCTCTCACCCGCTGCCCTGCCCTGCCCTGCCGGGGGTTTTGTAACGTAGCAGTTCCAGATGCCCAAATATCGAAAGAGGCACAGAAATCACTCCTCTAACTACACGCCCTGCAAAGCTGCGATGCTGGAGAGCAACAAGGAAGTACTTACAGCTCAGCAGCCGTGCGATGGTGAGCTGCGGGGTGTTTCTGCCCTCACCTTGAGGAGCAGAGGGTTTGCAGACTCTGTTTTCTTGCAGATGTCTCCAAAGGCAGTGGTGCTCAGTAGGACCAAAATGTGTATTTTCATGTGATGTGAATAAAGACTCTGAGCATTGAAGACTGTTTTGTAAGGGTTATCTTATCTAATCAGATGGAAATAAACAAAAATATTAACTCGGTCTAGATCTGTGGTGTTTACTTTAAAAATTAAGTTGATCTGCACCTGAATAGATACTTAAACCTCATCTTATACCATATGAAATTCTATAAATACTCAGAATTTCCACTGCATTTGTGGAGGGAAGTCCCCTGCCCTGTTACTGACACTTCCTTCACTCCAGCTGTATCTCACAGTCGTTTCTATACAGTATTATGAAGTGAACAATGGTTCTCTCGCAGTTAACTCTGAATTTAACCAGCAGGCTCAGCAAGAAGCATTTAAAACTAACTATAAACCTACCAGAACCCAAAGGAGGAACCTCTGCAGTTTTACTTATGAGAGTTAACCCCCAGCTCCACATAACTCTGCTTCAGCCACCCAAATATATCCCTGGTGCTCCCACTTCACCCAGGTGGAACCCTCCAGGCTCCCTCAAAACACTGGCACTATTTTGAAGACAGGTGGAAGTCAATTAAATGTAAATACTGAGGATACATGTAGCAGTCCATCATGTTCAAAACCCGAGACACTGCACGCTTGCAGGGAAAAAGGAGGTGTAACAGCAGCACGGACCAGGGCTCTGCTCTCTGAGTGACCACGTCTGCCCGTCACCTTCAACATGTAAACCTTAAAAAACAAACTTCCTTCTGTGTAACACCCGTGTAACATTAGCCATCTGAAACTAAAAAGCTCATCATTATCAGTCATTTTGCTTTAGAAAGTTTTACACTTGACCAATAAAGTGACCACTGAGAAGGACCGCTTAATAAATAAACAGGAAGTTGATAGTTTTTCTTCACTAATAAACCAAATACTATTACTGGAGTTATTAGAAGGCCACAACCTATAAAAATACTCTAAAACTTGTTTTCCAAGAGAACACTGTCTCTGGGGTGTAGGCCCACTTACCCTGAGGCACAGATACATGTTGCTTTAGAAAGTTTTACACTTGACCAATAAAGTGACCACTGAGAAGGACCGCTTAATAAATAAACAGGAAGTTGATAGTTTTTCTTCACTAATAAACCAAATACTATTACTGGAGTTATTAGAAGGCCACAACCTATAAAAATACTCTAAAACTTGTTTTCCAAGAGAACACTGTCTCTGGGGTGTAGGCCCACTTACCCTGAGGCACAGATACATGTAACCAGCATCCCAGAGAGCTGCTCAGCCGCTCTGTACAGAGCTTTGCCATAAAAAATAATATATTTACCATAGCAATTTTCGGAAAATACAGAAGGCAGAGGGGCTGCCCGTCGGGGTGCTGCGGCTGCCCAAGGGCCCTGACGGCACCAAGGGGTTCCACCACGGGGGTGAGAGGAGGAAGGCTGCGAAGAGCGAATAGATCAAGCAGTTTTACAAGTCACTCAACTGCTTTTGTTCGAGCCTGGTGAAAAATTGTCACTTGAGTGACCAAGTCAGTATTTAATTTTCAAAGGTTTTGTATTCATATAGAGACTTTATCATGTGCATATTTATATTCATATAGAGACTTTATCATGTGCATATTTATATACTCGCTTCAGCGTCTCAGGCTCGCTGAGGTTGGAAGGCATCTCTGGAGATTGTCCAGGCCACCTCCTTTGCTCAGGCAGGGTCCACTACAGCTCCCTTGGGGGTTTGAACATCTGCGCGGCTGGAGGCTCCCCAGCTGGCCTGGGCCACGTGTCCCCACCTTCAGCCACCCACACAGGACAAGGTGTTCCCTTACCTGCAGGTGGAATTTCCTGTTCCAGTTGCCGCCCCTTTTCCTGTTACTGGGCATTGCTGGGAAGAGCCATCGCCACCTTCTTCCCCCCTTCCCAGCAGGTATTTAAACACGTGGATGTGATCAGCCCCCCCTTCTCTTCTCCAGCCCGAGCAGCCCCCGCTCTCCCGGCCTCGCTCCAGTCTCTAACCCACGTAACGCTCTCACCCGCTGCCCTGCCCTGCCCTGCCGGGGGTTTTGTAACGTAGCAGTTCCAGATGCCCAAATATCGAAAGAGGCACAGAAATCACTCCTCTAACTACACGCCCTGCAAAGCTGCGATGCTGGAGAGCAACGAGGAAGTACTTACAGCTCAGCAGCCGTGCGATGGTGAGCTGCGGGGTGTTTCTGCCCTCACCTTGAGGAGCAGAGGGTTTGCAGACTCTGTTTTCTTGCAGATGTCTCCAAAGGCAGTGGTGCTCAGTAGGACCAAAATGTGTATTTTCATGTGATGTGAATAAAGACTCTGAGCATTGAAGACTGTTTTGTAAGGGTTATCTTATCTAATCAGATGGAAATAAACAAAAATATTAACTCGGTCTAGATCTGTGGTGTTTACTTTAAAAATTAAGTTGATCTGCACCTGAATAGATACTTAAACCTCATCTTATACCATATGAAATTCTATAAATACTCAGAATTTCCACTGCATTTGTGGAGGGAAGTCCCCTGCCCTGTTACTGACACTTCCTTCACTCCAGCTGTATCTCACAGTCGTTTCTATACAGTATTATGAAGTGAACAATGGTTCTCTCGCAGTTAACTCTGAATTTAACCAGCAGGCTCAGCAAGAAGCATTTAAAACTAACTATAAACCTACCAGAACCCAAAGGAGGAACCTCTGCAGTTTTACTTATGAGAGTTAACCCCCAGCTCCACATAACTCTGCTTCAGCCACCCAAATATATCCCTGGTGCTCCCACTTCACCCAGGTGGAACCCTCCAGGCTCCCTCAAAACACTGGCACTATTTTGAAGACAGGTGGAAGTCAATTAAATGTAAATACTGAGGATACATGTAGCAGTCCATCGTGTTCAAAACCCGAGACACTGCATGCTTGCAGGGAAAAAGGAGGTGTAACAGCAGCACGGACCAGGGCTCTGCTCTCTGAGTGACCACGTCTGCCCGTCACCTTCAACACGTAAACCTTAAAAAACAAACTTCCTTCTGTGTAACACCCGTGTAACATTAGCCATCTGAAACTAAAAAGCTCATCATTATCAGTCATTTTGCTTTAGAAAGTTTTACACTTGACCAATAAAGTGACCACTGAGAAGGACCGCTTAATAAATAAACAGGAAGTTGATAGTTTTTCTTCACTAATAAACCAAATACTATTACTGGAGTTATTAGAAGGCCACAACCTATAAAAATACTCTAAAACTTGTTTTCCAAGAGAACACTGTCTCTGGGGTGTAGGCCCACTTACCCTGAGGCACAGATACATGTAACCAGCATCCCAGAGAGCTGCTCAGCCTGTCTGTACAGAGCTTTGCCATAAAAAAAGAATATATTTACCATAGCAATTATTTTTGTAGAAAGAAAATACAAACTTGATCAAACATCGAGTGACAACGCAACTCAATCAAACAACGGAAGGTAACATGGTCAGGCAAACTATTTGGGAAGTAAAGCACTGTTTATAAATAGAAAGTCAGCATGAGGTCTTGGTCTGAGTTGAGGTAAGAACACATAAAAGCATGGTTCTGCTTTACACAACTTTCCCCATCTCCAGAAGGAATGTTTTCTGCATGCAGCACATTCTGTGGTAACCACAGGCAGCCACACAGACATCCCAACTTCTCTTTTCCTTTTTTTTTTTTTTTTTTTACTTTCCCTTTCTTATTGCCATTTTGGAGCTGGAACAACTGCTTAATGCTGATTTTATTAAAAAAAAAAAACAAAATGCCATAAAAAAAGAATATATTTACCATAGCAATTATTTTTGTAGAAAGAAAATACAAACTTGATCAAACATCGAGTGACAACGCAACTCAATCAAACAACGGAAGGTAACATGGTCAGGCAAACTATTTGGGAAGTAAAGCAGTTTATAAATAGAAAGTCAGTGTGAGGTGTTGGTCTGAGTTGAGGTAAGAACACATAAAAGCATGGTTCTGCTTTACACAACTTTCCCCATCTCCAGAAGGAATGTTTTCTGCATGCAGCACATTCTGTGGTAACCACAGGCAGCCACACGGCCATCCCAACTTCTCTGCTCTCCTCCAGTTACTTTCCCTTTCTTATTGCCATTTTGGAGCTGGAACAACTGCTTAATGCTGATTTTATTAAAAAAAAAAAACAAAACAGAAGTCACAAACAGCTTGTGTGTCACCATATTTCTCTTCAGCAATCCTTGTGGAGCCCAGGATGTAGTTTAACTGAGCAAGGCTGGGTGGGCAGTACCCTCTCTGGCTGCTCCCCTCACTGCCCTCGGCTCCTGCTGGGGTGTGTGTTTGTGGGGGTTGTGATGTCCCACTATCACAACACCCGGGCACAGACACAGCAACAGGGGCACGAGCCCTGTCACTGCCAGACCCGAGGAGCCCCCCCCCAGCACTGCCCTCGGCTCCTGCTGGGGTGTGTGTTCACGGGGGTTGTGATGACCTGAGGAGCCCCCCCAGCTCCTGGTGCCCCCGCACTCCCCCAGTCCTGCCCCAGGTGGGACACCCCACTCCCCTGCAGCTCCCATGCACACGAGTGTGCGCACACACACACACGCACACTTGAAGCAGTGGTTTCGAAAACATGAGAGGTTCAAGCTATTTTTAGTGCTTTTTTTTTTTCTTTTATGAGAAACAAACAGCAATTCTACAAAGCATTTGAAGAATTAGACCATATTCCCCAGAAGCTCACGGTTTGTGAAGGCGTTCAAGATTCTGAACTTGGTGTAAATGCGAGCGGTGCCGAGTGTGTCACCAGGCACCACCAGAGGCACCACCAGAGGCACCACGCCATCCACAGCAGGCAGCAGTCACACCTGTGCCCCAGTTGAAACACAGGCAACATTTAATGCCTTTGAGACAAGTATCTCACTCTCCCTGAGTTTGTTTCCATCTTCACACTCAACCAATTGCTCAGAACTTCTGTTTAAAAACAATTCAAACCCCAAATGTCCACACCACACCCCCCGATGGCAGAACGCTGCCAGCAGAGACATCCTCGGCCCTGGCAGCTGAGCCCTTATTGTGTTCTGACTCACACATCTGTAGTACGACGACATATTTAAACTATTTTTAAAAAATGTCATATCAACTGAGAGAAAGGAGGTGAGGACACACCTGGAATTTCAGTCAGTGGTCAGGAGCCCTTCCCAACAAGGGAAGAACAGTTACCTCTGTCCCCACTAACACGGGAGGGGTTCCCATCACCTTCCTTTCACAGGCACAGTTTATGGGCTGCATTTATAAACCTGAAGTTTGAAAAAACCCAGGGACTTCAGTCAGAAATGGTTACTACCTGAGCTAACACATCCAAGCTGCTTAGAACAAGAGTTTTTAATCAAACAGGGTTGGCTTCAGTTGGCACCACCGTTCCCTTAGCTTGGATTTTACGTCACTGGAAGCAAAGATGTAGTTGATTGACTCATAGGAGAGATCCCACACCTGGGACGGGCTCAGACCGAATGTTTCTGCAGCCAGCTCGTACTCCTGCGATAGATCTGTTGCAAAGACACCTTTATCATCAGTCTGGAGTTGAATGGAAAGAAAAGAAAAAAATTAAAATTAGTTCTTCTACATCAAAAAGGGGTTCTTCTACATGTTACAAGCCAGTTTTTTCTTGCTGTTTCACATTTTATTCCATGGTTCTTTCATCTGTTGGTAATTACCTCCTTGGTTATCCAGACTTTTCACAATTGAAAATCTCAGAAATAAGCTCTACTCATGAATTATTTTTCACCTACTACAACAGCGTTCAAACTCAATAATAAATACTTTATACAAGAAAGGATTGAGGCTTAATTGAATAATAAGCACAACGCTCTAATATGCCAGCAAAAGTACTTGGCACCTCGACATTTAAGGACCTTAATGAGCTGGCAAGATCTGAACACAATGAACACCCAGGGAAGCATAAGCTTAAATGCAAACACTGGACCAATGTGTTGAAGAGAAATCTGTCAGTTCTCAGTTAAGAAGTTAATTGCATGCACAGCTGATTCTCTATCTATACAGAAAAAAAAGGTCTTGCTTTACAATAAAACCAAGAGAAATACTAAAAATTCCCATTTGTGAGGCATTTTTCAAACAGAACATTTCCACCTCCTATAAGCAGATGAGTGGCTGCAAGCTCAGAAATTGTTAGTAAGTCAGCTCTGATCCACAACAGGAGATTTACTCCTCCAATCTCACACTAGTTTGGCTCTTTGCCTAAAAACATGGTTAAAATCAAAAAACTTACACAAAGCACTGCAGGGTGGCCCATGTTGTACCAGTATCCAAAATGGTGTTTGTCACAGGAGGGCACTGTCTGAGTTTTGATGTTTGATGTCATGCAAAATTCTAAGGGGAAAAAAAGAAGAAACAAGGATATATATCAAAACAAACGACATGGCTTTGACACATTAATTCACTTACTTCTGTTCCTGAATGAAAATTAAAATCAGCTATTGTTGTTTCCTTGATTTTATATGTTTCAAATACTTGGTAATCTCTTCTGAGGCACGTTTGGTATCAATTCCTTCTCAGTTACTGGCTGGGTAGTTGAGAAGCTTTTTCCTTACCAATAGGTATCTGATTCTGTCGAACGAGCAGCACTAACTCTTCTGAACCCGCTGTGGCTGCGTTGAGAAATGTTCCATGTCCAATTCTGTCAGGAGGCAGGCCCAGCAGAACTTTGGTTTCCTCTTCTTGATTTGGAATCTAGAGAGGATATATTTCACATTCTGTCAAGGCAGCATAGAACAGCACATTAAATAATTACAAGAGACTTCAAGCTCTATTTTCACAGCCTATCTTATCCAAAAGGGCGTGTTAGTGAAGCTAAACATCTGCATTAGAAGAAAGAAGTAGTGCATGAAAGCGACTCACAACTGGGAACTACAAACTGAAGGAGCCAGAACCCTCAACTGGCAACGTAAAAACAGAGCCCCGCTACTTGCAGCTCTGAAGCACTTTCAGTTCAAATCAGCTCTGTAAACTTCAGTTTCAAAACTATCCAGTCAAGAAGACCTTTAATATCTCTTTTACACAGGGATTAAAAAAATGGCGCACGAAGAACTTAAACTGCAAGAGGCCAAAACTAACAAAACAAACAAAAAATGAAACAAAACCAGGAGACCACTGAGACATCTAAGAAGTACATTTTCAGAGAAGCACGCAGGAATGCCCTGCAAAAGCCTCCTTAATGAAAAAGAAGTAAGTATGAATAGGCCCATGACATCATATATCGTGCCTAATTTCCTGAAGAAATAAAAATATTTTCAGTATTTGTCAGACTCGTCAGATTACACTTCAGCCACCACTTCAATGTTCTGTATGAAACCCAGCTCCTCCTACTGATGGAAGCAGAGCAAATACAATGACAATGATGCAAATTTGACTACATGTGACTTTTCAGAAGATACCAGGAAGAAAACAGTGGATCTCTTGGAATATTAATAATTTTCAAATTCCCACCCAACCCCAGAGCAGACGTAGTACAGTAAAAAATAATTTGACAGCTCTGATTCAGGAAAGATTGTTGAAGATTTCTCCTTGTTTGCTTTGCTTTTGTCAAAATGCCCCAAACCATTATTACTTTGGCCTGAGAAGTTCAAAATGCACAGAAGTAAATTTTAATTTCCTCAAGGTTTTTATGCAACGGGAATTACCGAGAAGCACCAAAAGAAAGAAAACTCTTACCTCTGAAAGATGCAATGCCAGCTTCAGGCCTGCTTTTTTTGCTTCTAAGAGTGGTTCAAAAAAATCTTGACCACGTCCTGCCTTGAAGACAGAAACACATCACCATTCTACAGCCTGTTCTACCAAACTCCTCCTATTACAATAATTAAGTCTAGCAATACCAAAACACTTAATTAAAATACAGTTACATTGAATTATTTTCCTTTTCCCATTACTTCAGTTCTGAATGCACCAAGTGACCCAATGTTCTGCTCTGTGGGCACAACTCAGACAAACTGGGAAAACACTGACATACCAGTTATCTCGATTTTGATATCCTTTCTACGCTGTCAATCACCCACAGCCATTTCCTCACAACTTGACAGCCTTCCTCAACCATTTTGGCTCTCTTTATACACAATAAGCACTTGGTGCATCTAAACAGAATTTAGACTAGTGTCAACCTGTAATATTATTTAACTTGCCTCAACCCAGTAAACCTGACTGGGACTATTTAGTAACAGACACTTCCCAGATAAACACTGCTTTTCAGTGGCTTTCTTCACTGTCACACATTGATCTATTGATTCTTTGTTGGAGTGTCTGTTCCTTACAGCAACTGGGATTAACGTGGTGTCCAGGCTGCAAGCAATCCCTTCAAACTAGCAACAAACAGGAAAAAAGCTTAAACCAACAAAATATGATTAGAACTGCTTGCTTTTACATAACATTATATACTTATCTTCAAGTACAGACCAAAGAAAACCAAAAAACTTACAGTGGGATCACCACTGAGGTCAACTCCTACTACAGCCCCATCAGTGGAAAGAAGGAACTCTTCAGCAAGTTTAACAGTCTGCTTGGCAACGTCCGGGCCACCTCTTCTGTTTATGGCTATCAGCAACCTAGGATAGAAAAGTATCCATTAAGTGAAATGCAGGCTGTAATCCTGGAGACTAACCAGTCTGATACCAACAAAAATGGCACTTTGTGTCCTTCATGGCTGAGTATGAGTATTTGTACAGGAAACTGTCCAAGGAATGAAGGTGCCAAAGTGCAGAGGGACACAAGCTACACCACTAGGTCAGCCTGAAACGCCACAGCCGCGGCCAGAGGGACAGGGACAGACACCCTGGGGCCAGAGACCTCTTGGAGCCGCACAAGACGAATGAGAATTCTTCAGCTTCCACAAACACATCTAACAAGGGTTGCTACCCGCAGCCTCAGAGCCAGGCAACAGCCACTGACACCCCCTGACACTTTTCTGCTGGTTGGGACGGTTCTCCTTTACAGCAGGCTGCTTGTACAGCCAATCAAGCAAAATCTTTGCAATGAATCTGGCCATGAAAAAGGAGTCTTTAATGCAATTTCATCAAAAACACCGCTTTTTCTCAAAATGTTGCAGAGAACGCACAGCCTCAGAGCTGAAAAGTTTCACCAAGTTTCATTCTCTATCAGTAAAAAGGAAGATAAAAATTCAGATTTCCATACGAATTGATTGTTTTCATTTCACGTAATCTGATTTAAGCACAATTTTGTTTCCTACACTGATGGTTTGTAAATCTCTCTGCAAACCGTGACCGAGCATCAGACTGCACAAAACCTTGAAACAGAGGTACTCCACGTGCTGTATTTACCTGACATCTATATCCAAGCCTTCTTCTTTACACTGCTTTATACCCTCAAGTACAGTTTCAACATACATCCTTTTGGTCATACCTACAAATACATGTACACATTTGGAATAAACATATTTGAATTAATTGTATTATGTCACAGACACAGCTCTCCAGCCTTATAAGTTTCATTTTGCATCTTTGATTTTAGTCCATAGTCTTCTAATCTATATAGTTCTAATTCTGCTTATAAATATAGAATCAATAGAATCATATATATATAAAAATATCTTTACTTCGAAGCATACATTTGAATTAAATCTCCTCCTAAGTATCTGAAAGAAAGTAACTTAGTGTGAACAAGAGAGTAGCAACAGGACTTCTCTGATGTGTTTCTATGAAACCACATATAAAAAAAATTTTAAAAAATGAAGTAACACAAAAAAATCAGCTATTCAAAATATTAGCAGACTCAGACATCATACTACAGCAAATAACCCTCGTTCTTGTGTAATATTTATAATCAACACATTTTTGTCCCCAATAATCTAATCGTAAAATTACATGTTTTTACATGGATAAATCTTTGCTTTTATATTTAAGGTATATTTTTATTGAACCAACTAAATCTGACTTTACTTGTTATTAGCATAGTCTTAACTAAGTTTTATAGCATGTCAGACTTACAAATTAAAAACCAGAACAGACCGTACCTGTGGACTTTTCTTCTCTAGGAGTGCTCCTCAATTCCAGATACTTGACACCATCATCAGCAAATTCCTTAATAACATCTTTAGTTATCTGATTAAGAAATAGTGTATTCAGCATTGTGACAGCACTAAAAGACACTGATGGATATCTTTTGGCCTGGAACACTTTTTCAGTGGGGAACAAAGAACAATTCTAGTTCTGTAGTTTTTGTACGTACTGAACCACAGGAGAAACAGAAGACCAAGGTAAATCAAACTTTGGTAGCAACTAACAAATCACATTTTTAAGACATTATCAGTCCAAGTAGCTGAATGGTGATAATGACCACCATATTGGAAAGTCATTGCTTTCACAAAAATTAAATGTAAAGGTTATATAAAATCCCGTGTTTCTAAATTTATGTGTTTTACAATAATTCTTCTGACTTCCAATTGAAGGGACCATTGCTGATGTTGTTACTCCAAACCCAAAGCTGTCAATCCAACTAATTTTGACTGTGTGTGTTTCTTGCGTGTTTTAAGCAAACTTTTAATCAACTCACCAGTAAAATATCTTCAGGCCTAGTGGTAATCTGATAGATAATCTGAAACATCTGAAAGCATCTAAAATAAAAATTTTAAAAGGTTAATTGGACAAATGTTGAGCAGCAAAATGAGTATTCGAAAAAAAGAAAAATCTGCACTTTGGAACCATGTACTCCCTATACTCAAATAACCAGCTTGTAGCTTAAAATGCACAGACCATCCGAATGGCAATTGCTGAGTTTAGATGCTGACAATGCATTTGCAACAGAAATTATTATTATTACCACCAAAATTTTTTAAGCACAAAAAACCCCATAAAGTTCCCAGAAACGAAAATGTAAGAGTCAATTTTCTCTGAAGAGCAAACGCTACAAGTGGAAATTTTCAATCCTTTAAAAAGGGAATTAATCAATATGAGATTGCCATTTAGTACGCAAACATCTAAGAAGTTATTGTATAGGTACAAGTAGCAACAAAAATCTAACAGATTGTACTGTAACTAAAACTTGAATATGCATTTTCTGCAGTCCGTGTACACGGCCATACATTTCTCTGTTCTTAACTCAATTAAAAGATACTCGTTAAACGTCCATCGCTCTCACACACGTGTACACTCACTCATCTAAGGTCCTTTTCTTTCCTTTGTCAATCACAGTCATTCCATTCTGGATCTGAAGACACGGCTTCTGGGCTGTAAGTTTCTTCATGGTGGCAGAACTGATAGAGCCATTCAAATGAGCATGAAGTTCCTAAAGAAGAAAAAAAGCCTATGGATTTGCTTCCAGTGAAAAGGATGGCTTCTACATCTTGTTTGCGTTACTGCCCTTGAATCCTACGCTATTGTTTCACTCTGAGTTTGAAAATAAAATAACAGCTATCTCTGTGTTCAGCTAGTAATGATTTCCTCATGCTTTTGCATGGATTGCTTCAACCGGGACCATCCCGTTTGTTCCTTCTCCCCCCATGGCTCCTGCCAGACTGATCCCGGCGAGAGCGCGGCTGGCTCCGCAAAAGGCAGCTCCCCAGCTCCTTCTGGGAATGGGGCAGCTCAAGGTGTGGAGGAAGCCAACAGCTGCCTCAGAATTAAGAAAAGTGTAATAAGGATTCAAAAAACTCTTTCCCCATCCACTGCAAGCGAAATGTATGTGTACGTTGTTTGAAAATAGCAACATCTGTATATCCACTCACCTTTCTTTTTTCATACTTTGAGGTTTTAACTCACACCAGAAATCCAGCAAGACACTACCTCTACCCATTGACCGGCCATACATTTCTCTGTTCTTAACTCAATTAAAAGATACTCGTTAAACGTCCATCGCTCTCACACACGTGTACACTCACTCATCTAAGGTCCTTTTCTTTCCTTTGTCAATCACAGTCATTCCATTCTGGATCTGAAGACACGGCTTCTGGGCTGTAAGTTTCTTCATGGTGGCAGAACTGATAGAGCCATTCAAATGAGCATGAAGTTCCTAAAGAAGAAAAAAAGCCTATGGATTTGCTTCCAGTGAAAAGGATGGCTTCTACATCTTGTTTGCGTTACTGCCCTTGAATCCTACGCTATTATTTTATTTTCAAACTCAGAGTGAAACAACAGCTATCTCTGTGTTCAGCTAGTAATGATTTCCTCATGCTTTTGCATGGATTGCTTCAACCGGGACCATCCCGTTTGTTCCTTCTCCCCCCGTGGCTATAACAGCTATCTCTGTGTTCAGCTAGTAATGATTTCCTCATGCTTTTGCATGGATTGCTTCAACCGGGACCATCCCGTTTGTTCCTTCTCCCCCCATGGCTCCTGCCAGACTGATCCCGGCGAGAGCGCGGCTGGCTCTGGAAAAGGCAGCTCCCCAGCTCCTTCTGGGAATGGGGCAGCTCAAGGTGTGGAGGAAGCCAACAGCTGCCTCAGAATTAAGAAAAGTGTAATAAGGATTCAAAAAACTCTCTCCCCATCCACTGCAAGCGAAATGTATGTGTACGTTGTTTGAAAATAGCAACCCCATCCACTGCAAGCGAAATGTATGTGTACATTGTTCGAAAACAGCAAATCTGTATATCCACTCACCTTTCTTTTTTCATACTTTGAGGTTTTAACTCACACCAGAAATCCAGCAAGACACTACCTCTACCCATTGACAGCAGCTGGAGTAACTGCCCTCCTTTGTCCAAAACTGCTTTCTGCCTACCTTTTTCTTGACAATCTGCCTTTGGGGTCCACACCTACGATCCTCAGCTCCATTCCTCGCTTCACCTGGGCTCCTTCTTATGCTCTCTTGCCTCCTGACACACAGAACAGGTCCCTGGTGCCCTCCCCACTACTGCAAAAGGTAACTGCAAAGCATCTGCTGTCTTATCACCCCCCCAAACACATCCCTTCTCACTAGGGGGGGGGGGGACCTGCCTTTGGGGTCCACACCTACGATCCTCAGCTCCATTCCTCGCTTCACCTGGGCTCCTTCTTATGCTCTCTTGCCTCCTGACACACAGAACGGGTCCCTGGTGCCCTCCCCACTACTGCACAAGGTAACTGCAAAGCATCTGCTGTCTTATCATCCCCCCAAACACATCCCTTCTCACTGGGGGGGGAAAAAAAAAAAGGAAAAATATTTCTTCAAGCCTTTGACCAGAAAACATGTTGAAATTGTAACTCCTTCAACATCTAGTTTTAATTTTGTTAAGTATTATATTTCAGATTCCTATTTAAAAGCGTTATGTTCACAAGGAGAGGAAAAGGGGTCAGATTATTGCAAGCCACGGAGGTGCTCAGCTCCAGCTGGACACCAGCAGCTGTGGCTGTTACCACCTCTGGCACGTGCTGCGCCCAATACGGCACATTTTTCAGTCTGGAAAGCGAAATACTCTCAGAATTCAGGTAGACATCACACATAAACCCCGACAGACAGCTTATTGGCGAGCAGCACCCGGGGACGGTGTGATCCGAGGAGGGTTAGATGCGCGGCCGCCGCCTGAGCTCCCGCCGCGGGACCAGCCCGTTGCCGGCCCCGAGGCCGGGGAGCGATAAAGCGGCGGGGCCGAGGGGCACAGACACCCCGCGATACGGCACCGCCCTTCGGGACACGGGAAAAAGAGCGTTATCAGAGGCGGGGCTGCCAGGCTAGCCTGGGGCAAAACAGGGCGAAAACAGCAAACAAAGCTCGCGCTCGGCAGATTTAACGGGAAGAAGGTCCGAGACTAAGAACGGCAAACGGGCGGGGGGGGGTGAAAGAGCGCAGAAAAGCGCTCGGTTGTTAACAACTGAAATACGGCAAACCCCCCTCCCGCCCCCCCGCAGTGCCGGTGCGCTCCGGATCCGGCCCGGCCCCCGCCGCCGGAGGCACGGGCAGGTCCCGGCCGCCCCCGCCGCGCTCACCACTTTGGGCAGCCGCCGGTAGAGGCTCAGCTCCCGCTGCCCGGCCCCGTCCCGCTCCGCCGCCATGACGCCGCCCGGCCGCCGGGGGGCGGGGCGCGCACTGACACCGCCCCCCTCAGGCACCGCCCCCCTCTGGCTCCGCCCACCGCCGCGGGACGGCGAGGCCATAAAAACCACCGGGAAGAGTTAATCTCGTGAAAGCTTCAAGTTTATTAAAGCGACACCGATTTCAGCTCTCCCGCACCGGCGGCGGGCACCGAGGGGTTCCCCAGCGGGAAACCCAGCCCCACCTCCCCAGCCCTGCGGTAAAAGCAACCTGGCAACTTGCGAGCACACGAGGACAAACTGCACCTTTCCAACCCAACCAAAGTAAAGAGCCTGCAACAATCCTAACATCTACTTCATGTTTAGCGTTTAGCATTACTGCAGTCTAATTCTAAACCCCCACAATTTTAAGTCCACGAGTCACTAAGCAAAGGCTGGCTCCTGGCACATCCCTGCACAGAGATGAGTCTGAGTAACATCATAAACCGCAGCGACCTACACACAGCCAGAGGAATTCAGGCAAATAAATTATCCCTCACAAATAAATAAATAAAAAAGAATATATTAGTGACATATTTAGGGAAGTTAGCTTTAAAGTCAAGCATACAAATACGAAGTAAACAACTCCAGTTAGTTTGCATCTCTTTTGGTGCTCGCCAGATCATCCCAGTTCAAGCCCAGTGCAGAATTTGGTGACCTGCTCAACTGTTTTCATAGAAAAAGAGCGTGTCCGTAGGCATGTCCATAGGAGAGCGGAAATGATTTTCAACTTACTCAGTGATCCACTCCTTTATTTTACCTTAGTTAAAGGCAGACTAAGTACAGATACTGTACATTAACATGTATGCACATAGAAAGAACAGCTGTTCTTCATCCTACCTTAACGGCTCAGATCCCTACATTCTTTTATTTAGAGCCCTTCCAAAGCAATTACTCCCCTCTGAAAGATGTTGCACCTGCATTTAAATATAGAGAGACCCATCTGCAGGTCCCACATAGCCGACGCCTATTAGCAGCACGTCAATTAGTGTCCATATTCCAAGTCCACCAAAGCTGAAGAGCTTTCCCAGACCTTCCCGCCACTGGCCCAAATAGAAACGATCGGCCCCAAATCCACCGAGGGTGATGCTGTAAGAATAAAAACATGATTCACTATTACTATTTTTAGATGAACTCAGTTCCATACACACTTCCTTCTGACATACCTACAAGCTGGTGATAGTTTTGCTCCACCTCATTCAATAAACAATACAGTTTTTGTACAAAAAGCGCAGAGTGGGTTATGAAATGAGAAAGCTTTTGATGAAATAGCACCATTTCTTAGCTAATTAATACTATCCAGCGATGTGACAGCTTTTCATTCATAACAAGCAATAAAACCAAAACCTCTCAAATTTATAAACGTATCTTGACGTTTCTAAGCCAGGAGAAGCTATAAAGATACCAAGAAGTAATTCTGACAATTTTCAACCCTAATTGTTTAAAACATATTAAAAAAAAATGGAGGAAAAAACCGTAAATCTGCAGATTTTTTTTTTTTTTAGTATTTGCACCTCATTTGACACCATAGAGAATAAAAGCAAACATGTCCTCTCCCCTCAGAAAATGGATAATTTTGTGAAACCTTAGAATCATTGACATTTACTCTGTAGAAAGAACAGTTGATGCAGAAATAGTGTAAATGTTTTCCCTGAAGCTGTGTGTACTGAAGACAGCCAGGATTGCTGCATATGCAATCTTCCAGCATCCTATGCCTCCAAATTCTGAACTAAACTACATGAAACATTGGCTATTCAGTAAACCATTAAAAAACACAAAGTAGAAAACCACAGAAACTAAAGATTCTATAAACAATGAATCTATTTCTAACAACATTATCTACTTTAGCTTGACAACAGTTCTTGTGTACCTTAGTGCCAAGGCAGTAGACCACTTATAACCTCCGGTCCAGTTGCAGTAGAGCATCTTAGGAAAGACACGATTACCTAAGCATTAGAAAACATTAAAAAAAACATAATGTAACAAAGACCACATAACGAGTAAGAAAATGACAAGCAAGAAGATACTGTACTTCTCTAGTAAGAGTCTAAAAGGGTTGATGCTAATTGAAACAGACAAACAAAACCTCATATATACTCTCCAGTCCCCTGTTCCATCCATCTTTGTCTCCCATCAGAGAACACGCAAGGTCACTGAACAAATAAGGGAAGAATTAAACTAGCTGGGTGAAACCAGCAGGAATTTTTAAAGTTTTCCCACTGAGACATTTGGAATTAATTCTATCAGTGGTGTTCAAATTAGTTTCACTCATAGAAGCTGACAAAAATAAAACAGAACTATTTTCTCTCACGTGAAGGTATACAACAATATTAAAACCCAGTGTTTACAGTTAGATGTCACTTATGCTTTAAAATTAAAATGTAACTATAAAAATATCTCAACAAACTAATCGAGGTGCAGGCTGTTACTGCAACTGACACAAACAATCATTGCATTGACCCATTAGAAAAAATGTTAAGAAATTATTTAGAAAAAAAGCTTCTTTACAGAAGCTGCTTTAGCCCACTTTACCTAGACAATGAATGTGGTCCCGTACGGTACACGTGGCGTTGTATCGCTGTCGCGGGCAGGAAACCGTCATGCAGTTGGTAGAATTGGTACATACATAATCAGTTGGTGCAAGCTGCCAGCAGAACTGGCATGTCATGGTAATTGTAAAGTTCTCCTGCTCGTGGTTATTCTGGTCCTGTAAGAGACAGCGTTATCACTTCACTAGTAATAAAAAAATAATAATAGTAAAATCACAGTGTGCAGTATCAAATTACATGTAATGTATAGACATTTTGGGTAAATTACTCTCTCTGGTACCTCTATGTAGAACACTAGAAAATGGAGTTATTAAAGCACAGTTCAACATTCCTGTTTCCTCCAAAGCAGGATGGAATCTGGCTAAGGCTACTGCCAAAAGGAGGACTTGTTCACTCTCACCTGTAAAATCAGTTTGTATCTCTGACAGATAATTAGCCTCCCCACTCTCAATTGGCCAACAAATGGATTTAATTTAATTGCACGGCTGCGTGACAAAAAGATCCAATGCAAGAAAGGCAAAACACAGAAGGTAGGTCTGCCTCTGCACCAACGGCCTACACTTGAACAAGTGAGTGTACCACAGACCTGCAAATTGCTGATGTAAGACCCTAGAAATCAATTTTTTACACTTCATGACAAGATGACGTAGCTTAATTACATGACTTAATTTGGAGTTTAAAAGTAACAGGTTACTTACAAGACAATGAACATGTGGCTTGACTTTGCAATCAAAAGTGGCCGGCTTCCCATATACACAGGAATAATTTGTGTTACATGTCATGCAGTCTGGTGGCAATCTACTGCAGAGCCCGTTGCTAGGACATTTAGTCACATAAGATGGAATTTCTGTACTTTCTGAAAGGTGAATAAAATTAAGTGAATAAAAAAACCCTATATAGTCTGAAGTATATATATACATACATGCATTTTCATCTATACATATATACACACACACACTGACTCCATAAAGAGCTTTCCTTGTTATTCAGTGACCAGCATTACAAGCGGGTGCTGTGGGAAGCACTGTGCTAGCCAAGTGAGGCACTCACCACAGCAGGGTACCCTGCGAGGATCTCACAGGGGTCTACACAGGACAGCACAGCACCTGAGTGAGCTCAGCATGGATTAGTGCCACCTCAGCCAGTATTTCTCAGAGGAAGTAATCAGTTTAGGTAGAGAAGCAGGTTGACATGTGTAACCTACTTTTAGTTCAGGTCTAATTAGGTTTCCAGCAAGCTCAGCCATTTGCTGTTTGTATGTGTTCAGAATCACCTCCTAAATTACTAGCACAAACAGCGTTTCAGCTGATCTTGATGCACCCCTTAGTAAGCTACAAAAATTGTATTTATTTTGGGTAAGGAACAGTAACAAGTTTCTGCAGAATGCTGGAGTCTTACAAGAACTTCCACCATCCCAAGAGGGTATAAAACACATGAACGACAGTTTAAGTGGCCATTTTCTAGTTGCAAGTTCTTAAATGCACCAATTTTCTAATTATGTAATCCAAACTCATTGTTAAGGTCATCGAAGAGTAATTCATAATGTGTTACACTATAATGTCTATTACCCCTGTGAGAACACACACGGGTTTCTCAGGAGTAATTCAATAACTTTACTATTGAACTCAAACACTGAGTAAAAAATCCCGTGTAAGAAAAACAAAAGAAACAATATAATATTGTACCTGCTACTTTAAAATAAGGAGCATTTGTACTTGTTGAAGTTAGGCTTTTTGCCAACGTAGACTGTGGCTGTGAATGCTTTGTGGTCATCAAAGATCCCGCTACAAGAAAAAAAAAAAAGGAGAAAGTGATATTTCTAGAATAAAATTCATCTTCAGAAACAGTTTAAGTATGCCCATAGGAAATTACAAGTGGAAAGTGAAATGAGAGTTTTTAAATTATAAAAATATCTTTTCCTGTTCTAGAAATAGTAGAATATTTACAGTAAACATTAAAATGAACATCAGAATTGAACCTTTCCTTTTAGACAAGAAACAATGTTTATTTCAATGCAGTCTAATTTTTTGATTCATAAGAATTAAAAAGATACTGCTTGGAAAGCAGGTTTTACACCGCATTTGCTAGAGAACAGAACTGTTTAATCAAGAAATGTAGCAGCTACTTTGACAGAGGAGCCGGCTGGCACTGCGGCTGTGTCTCCCCACGGGCTCCACGTTCGTCCGGACGACTCCCAGGACAGGGAGGGCAGGAGCCGTCCAGAGGTACGGCCTGCGGGGCAGTGCCCGAGCGCTCTGTCACAGCCACCGCCCGGGGGGTGCCGAGCGGCCCCATTGCCCCGCCAGCAGCGGCCGGGCCGGCACACCGCTCCCCAGCCGCAGCGACACAAAGGCCGCGGTGCCAGCCCCGCGCAGCAGGCCGCCCGGGCAGCGGGGCCCGGCCCGCCCTTCGTCCCGACACCCAGCACCTCAGCACCGGCCCCAACCGCCGCGGCCCAGGTTCCCCCCTCGGCCCAGTCAGGAAAGGGGCAACGCATCTTCCACAGACCGAGGTCACGGTCACCTCCCCGGCTCGGTCACTGGGGAGCCGGGCCCGCGCCCAGCCCCTACCCCGGGGACGGGCCTCGGACGCTCGGGAGAACAGCCCCCGCCTGCGGGCGAGGCGCTGAGGCGCCGCCGGGCCTCCCAGCGCCCGCGGTCAAGTGGCAGCTTCCCCCGCCTGCCACCCCCCTTCTCCCACCCCACTGCCTCCTCTCGGCCCCGGGGAGACCGGGCAGAGTGGCGGCAGCCGCGCTTACCGCGCCCGGAGAGCACGTAGAGCTGGGACAAGAACAGCGCGACGCTGCAGAGCCTCCGCAGGGCGCGCAACCCCGCCAGCGCCGCCATCTTGCCCACCGGCTCCGCCGCTGCCGGCGAGGGGCGGGGCCACCGGCTGGGGCGGGGCCCGGAGGAGGGACGGCGGCGCTGAGGGGAGGGACGGGCCCTCATGGCGGGAAGGGGCAGCGCTGAGGGGAGGGGCGGGCCCTCATGGCGGGGGGCGGCACCAACCTGACTGCCGTTACTCGGTCCTCCCTGTCGAAAATTTTAATTTATACTGGTTTTATGAATTTATGTCCTTCGATGACCTCTCTCAGGGCTGCAGGTTGTCTGAACACTTAGATGATGACAGCATGTATGCTAAAAAGTTAGTAATACGTTTGCAAAACCTAGAAATTCACTGTAAAAAACAAAAACACACCATCCCAAAAGTTTCATTCTGCAGTCACACATCTATCATGGAGGCTGTAGTCCATAAGGGTATGGTATTTTTATATAAAATATATTATTAATAAATATAAATAACCCCACACACTCCATGCTAATTGTGTGAAGTGGAACAGAAGCTTTCCCAGCACTTGTTCCTTCCATCTTTTCCTTTCTTCTTTTAAAAGCAAGGGATAATTGGTAAAAACAGAAAAACAGATCCACAGAACAAAACTAATAGAGATGAAAACCAGGCCTACTGAACACAAGACTGTGCAAGTCTCAGGCGTAAGTAAAGCATTAGCTTTGTATCTGTATAACACTTATGCACTGAATAGTATTTTCTGCTTCATTTCAGTTATATTTAAATCACAACAGCTATGGATGTATAGCTTAAATAACTGAGTGACATGTTTAACACTATTTAAGCCTTGTAACTAAAAAACCGCACATGAAAGTAAAAAGGAAGTTGTGGTAAAAATTCATCTCTCCAAAAACTCTGATTCAGCTGCCTGCAACAGTAGGTTTACAAATGATTTTAAAGTTAGTCAGATAAATATGGCCAGATTTAAATTCCAACATGTATGTTTTAAAAAGAAAACTGCTGTCTGCTCCTTTCCAGAATTCCCACTATCCCAAGCACTATCCCAATATATCCCTCTGTATAAACTACACAGAGGAAGGTTGTTTTTTTTTTTTCAAAGGTTTGGCTTTTTTTCTCACACAGAAATCAACAGCAAACACAGGAAAAAATAAAACGCTGCACACAGAGATACAGTGAATAACCCAACTTCATTCTTGGCAACCACCTTTACAGCAACCAATTATCACACCAGCTCAATCAGCACCGCCTTTCACCGAGATTTCTAAGGAATACACCAATGTATTTGTAGCCTGCAAACATGAATTCTGAAAGAATCAAGCTATCTATCCCCCTTCAAAAAGCAAAAGATCGGAAAAAAAAAAAAAAAAAAAAAAAAAACATAAATAAATTGCAGCTAGGA